ATAGTAGTTCTGTAATCTATTTATGGTAGTTAAGAAGGAGTCTAAGGGCATTTCCATGGCCGACCTGTAAATGGACACGGTATTTGTCCGAAAATTGGTACCGATGTCCGAACAATGATACTGAAGCCGGACATCAAACCCTATACCTTAAAACAACAATTTTCCGCCAACATGCACGCATCCTTTTCGCATCCTTCGCTGCCTCCGCCGTGCAGCTCAGCCTCCGCCATCGCATACACATAGGATGCCATGCATAGCACCATAGATGACATGCACCTTTAAAACAACGATTTTCCGCCAACATGCACGCATCCTTTTCCCATCCTTCGTTGCCTCCGCCGTGCAACTCAGCCTCCGCCATCGCATACACATAGCATGCCATGCATAGCACCATACATGACATGCACCTTCCGCCATCCAAGCTATGTTCATGTATACACCTTCCGCCATTGAGCTCCATGCACATATCACATGCATGCATCTTCCGCCATCCTTGTTTGTGCACACATACACCTTACGCCATCCATGATCTATCCAGATAGCACCATGCATGCACGGATGCACCTTCCGCCATCCATGCATACACCTTCCGCCATCACACGCAGATGACCAAGCATAAGCATACATTGCGATACGTGGCGGCTCATAAAGCTCTTCAGGTTTGTCTCGGATTTGGCAGGAAAAATGCGTCTGAACCATTCAGTGGACCGATACAACCCCCATTGGATGGCAAACCATGTCCAGTCAGCATGATCTGGATGGATGCGGAAGGTTTGATGCCCTAAAACAAGATAAGTAATAAGTACACACAAACGCTCACAAGGTCTCGTTCGCGCATCAAGGACCTCAAGTATTTTGCGCCGGGTAAGCCCCAATTGGAGGCTTCACGCTTGATCTTGGCAAATACAGAAGCATGCATGGATGGAGTATTAAAAAAAACCGTGGGTGATGCACTTATTCCAGATTTCCCAAACGACAAGCATCAGGAGGGACTCCATTGCTTTGCGTCGAATGCCATTCGGCTGACACACCAGCGACCACCATTCGACCGACATGAAGTTTCTCCAGGAGTTTAGATCAATGCTACCCAAGCTAGATCAAGGTTTGCCTCACTATGGACAAATATATTGTCTGACTTGTTGCCATCTGTACAACAGGTGGCGAGTGGAATTACTTTCAACTATATGTCATTATGCCTACTGCAATGCTTTGTTTTATTACTCAATACTCCGGGTGAATTTATGGGGGTTTCGGGCACCTTAGGTGAAATATGGGCTATCAGATGAGATGTGTATCGATCTTGTAGAACTATGGATGTATTGTCTATGATAATATGATTCTCTCATATTAGGTACAAAAGATATATTTTCATCATTTAGGCAATTAATTTGAGCTATTTGTTCATTTATAAATGTTGCCAATACAATTAAAGTTGTTCTTAGTTGCGGCCATGATAATAGTTTGTCTTTATGATGCTTATTAATTCCCTTGCCTTGCAAAGCACTAAAAAAAACTCCAATAATTTAACCCGTCTATGTTTTTCCCTT